TTTCTTGTTATTTTGATCGTGAACTAATATAGATGTAACTCAACCAAGCTTTTTTTTTCATATAATAATAATTATGTCATCATTAGTCCACAGATAAAATTCCGCAAAAATAGATGTAGAACTGTTACTTTAACAAATGGAAAAAATAAAACAAAAACATTCATGATGTATATATATTCGTATCATACTCGTAATTACTTACCCAAAATTAATCGTTTCTTTAAAGTGACTACTTTTTTTGGGTGTATATGCTAAAGGTAATTAATAAATGTTAAGTTTTGTCGGATATTCATTCACATCAAAGAAATAATGCTCTCTAATGGACTGAAAACAATAATGTTTTTTTTTCATATAACAAAATCTATAATTAGTTTTAAATTAGTTGTATTAACAATTCATGTCGAATTTATTTTAAATGATCCTGAAAGTACAGGTGCCTAATATGGCTTGAAGCATGAAAGAAATTTCATTACAAAAACGTTAAATGCTAGGACTCGAGCACTTTTTCATCAATTCTATTACTTAGGTGTACATTGCGTTACAGTGTCCAGATTTTCTTTAAAAGAAAATTGATATATCACAAGCTTTTGTGACAAAAATATGCAACTTACTATATGTCGTGTTAGAAAAATTGTAACCTGAGACAATTGTGCTTTTCTTCTGCTTGTTGCTATTATTTTTCAGGTCCTATGCTTCATCTGTACTGGAATAATATACAGATGCAGTGTGTAAATTAGCCCTGTACAAAGATGCCAGTAGCAATAATATTGCGCTTAAAAATTAAAACACAAGGAAAATATGTTTGCTGGAAAACTGTTCTCAATAATTGCTTGTATATCCTTCGTCGGCCAAAATATGCTAAACCGTTAATATCGTATATTTCTGTGAATAAACAAACACGCACCTTTCTTGTAGCCCCAGTGGCACAGCTGTACGTCTGCGGACTTACAACGCTAGAATCCGGGTTTCGATACCCGTGGTGGGCAGAGCACAGATAGCTCATTGTGTAGCTTTGTGCTTAATTACAAATACACAAACTTTTCTTGTAAAATACGTTTAAAATTGTCGAATTTATGTGAAAATGAGAATTTAAATAAAATTATTTTTGTTTGAATATATCACAACTTAACTAAGCTGAAGACTTTGCTAATGTTAACAATGATCCTCGTTTAGCAGGTTTAGATTTGTTTCTTTCCTTTTAACCCTTTGGTCCACTGAGTGACTATGAAAAGAAATAAAGAACGGGAAGTCCACCGCATGATTTTACTATATTATCTTCTTTCTCATCGACGAATGATATATTATTACTTTTTTGTTAGCGCATGTAAAAAATAAAAACGCACGAAGTACCAGTAGAAAATTACGATTTTTGTTTTAACACAGATAAGTATGATAATATGTACATATATATATATACACATGTGATTGAAAATTATAAGATATTCCGCGGTGCTTTCAGACTGCTATAGAATTACAATAACCAAGCCAGTATACTTATAAATATTTCTTAAATGATAACCAGGTCTTCTGCTCTGGTTCGGGACTTAGCCAAGAGTACCAAGCCTTTTACATCGCTTAAATAGTGATAGACACGCGCATCTAACAGCAGTTACGTGCTTGTCGGTGGGTAGCGAAGGCACGAGTGAATGTCGTGCGTCAATACGCGGCCTTCTTGTTCGGTGCAAGTGGTACCATGGTTCAGTTTGATGAAGGAATTCGGTACATGTGTCTGGATTTTCTACTGATATTGTGCCAAGTGTAGCATGTTCGTGGGAAATGAAAAAAAGAAAAAATAGAAGAGTACGCAGTGTATGTTGTTATTAGTAACGTCTAGTAATAGAATTTCTCGAGTAATATAGCAAACTTGGGCTATAGTGAAGAAATAACAAAGAGAAACGCTTGTCGAACATACACTTTTTGGAGTAACGCGGGTTGAGCTTGGACATTAGACAGATACGAAAAGCACAACTAAAAGGACAACATTGTTTAAGATACGATTTTTATAGAAACTGATTTGTACAGTTTTCGGTAACTTTTAGTGTATTGTAAAGTATGGAATTACCAGCGTAATTTTGATTTTTTTCGCATGGGATATTTGTTTTATAAGGCAAACAACGAAGGGGTATTCTTTCAGGTTTTTCTCAGATGGTACTTCAAAACAAACAGGTGATATCAAGTAGTTGGTATTCTTAATACAAGTAGTGGACACATTTGTGCAGCACTGATAAACATGCTTACACTTTCTTTAAGTCTCGCTTTGAGCGCGTGGCTATGTTTCTGCTCAGGTCACGTGCAGGTTTCACCTGTAAGTACAAGCAGACAACGTTTGCAGAATCTACTAAACCAGTCGCCTTACTCAGGTTATTCAACCTCGGGAAAGAAGGTAAGATATGTATATATTTGTTCGAAATTTTCTATTATAAATCAATCTAAAACGATTCGACTTTCCTTCTATTCTCTATAAATAGAGTCAATTACATTTGTCTTCCTCTCCACCAAATAATAAAATCTGTAGATAATAAAATGAAATCACACTCATGAAATTCTGATTCATTTTTATATATATAAATCAGATTGTCAGTCTGTGACTATGTATATATACATCATTATGCATACACGATTTTACAATGGTTTTATCAATATATTATTATATAGCACTTAAAGTTTTACATATACTAAACTAATCAGATCAGGTCAAATATAATCATATCGGGGTAGTGGTAATTAGGATCAGTCAAATGAAAGGCTATATCAAAAATAAATGATGTGTCAACGTTCTTCTGTGAGGAAGTGGTCAGGCCAGTAGAAAAATGCTCGAAAGTCTGTATGGAAGTGGACAGGCTAGTAGAAAAAATGCTAAAGTTATCCAAACGTAGCTCAAACCTAACAGATTGCTTTTAAGTGTCCGTGTCAACCAAACAGTATTCCAGATCAGAGGACGAAGGCTTCGTGGGTTCCAGTGTGAACTGAGGTACAAAAAAAAGTCATCCAGATCGTAGGTTATATTCTTTTGATAACGCTTGCTTGGAAAGAAACAATCAAAAGTTAGCTCAGATTCAAATCAAAATGACTTGAAAGAAATGACTTCAAGAAACATAGCTTAAAACTGTATGCTAACCCAGTAAGAATGTTGAACCTGCATCGCAGATATAACAATGTATAACAACCAAGTTAAAAACTGAAGAAACAATGCATTTCATTCTTAAAAATAATTAAGATTTAGATGCCTGACGAAGATGCCTGCGTCTATAAAGCACCTTCAAGTCATAGGCATGAAAAATAGTATAGAAAGTTGTTAACATTACATATAATTCTCAATATGAGGTTTTCACTCCGATCTTAATTTTCCTAATGATGTTTTTTTTTGAACAACATAGTTTTTTAAGTGACTAAACTCCAATGTCAGAGCTGTCTTGTTCTTCACATATTTTACTTTGGGGATTGTGCACTAATGATTGTCGATGATGACTTGCATGTTCTTTTTACACGCTTTGTTTCATGGCGATTCTTAGAGCAAAGTCTTGAACCTTTACTTTTGACGTCAGGCTTGCAATATTCTCGTTCACCTTTATACTTGGGTGTTGCATGTATTATAACTTATACATTTCGTTATGCTTGCAAAGTTATTTAATATATCTATTTTTATTATGTTTAATTCTTTATTATGTTTTTATTATAAATATTTTTTTACATTGCTAGTTTTGTGTATGGACTTAAGACTAACCTAAATCTCTTAAGCTAGCCAAAACTCATGAGACATAACGGGGATTACGGCTGAAAATATTACTAATAGTGAGGGTACTCAACTGATGAAACAATCCATTCTAATCTTTATAGCTAAGAACGTAAGAACAATATATTTAGTTAGCTATGCTCAGCACTAGGCTGATATTTACTATTGATCTATTTAGGTAGTCTGCTTTGATCAGAAGTTACCACATAGTAACAACATTTACATTATAGCTCTGGCTGTCCAACTGTTTATACTTTTTAAAGAAAAAAATATTTAAAACATTGAAGTTTGAGTTAGTTTTGACATTTCTTTATATTTTCAGATTTTATTATACTGCATTTTTTGTTACTTGATTGTTTTTGACACATTCACTAAAGGTTTATTAGGGTTTTAGGGTCAAGTGGATAAAGCTGGAACTTTCTTTTGAACAATATATATATTTTGAATACTTTAAAAAAAATGTTTAACTTTAGCTGTAAATAAATAGAAGTTTTCTTCTACTCGTACAATAACTATAACAATTTAATTAATGTTCTTACCTAATAAATAAACCGATGCTCCTGGAAACAGATAGCATTAATGGTAAAAAAAAGTGAAGATCAACCTTTTTCTTAAAAATTACTTCCACTTCATATGGAAACGTAAAACGTTTGCCAGTATATAAAACTAGCGCCACCTAGTTAATTATATATTGATTTGAATTAAGGCAAAATATTTTGAAGAAATTGTAATAATTAAATAATGAGAGGAAGTAAGGGAGTATTAAAGCGGAGCCTAGGTGGATTAGTCTTCAGACCCTACCGAGTTCTTCAAACTAAGCGCGCATATTGGTTTTATGTAAATCACAAAAACGAATCTACATCTTACCTCAAAGGAACACAGACCCAGGATTGCACAGAGGAAAATTTTTGTTGAATGCAAGATTGTGTTCGTTTCCAACAGCACGGATTTTTTTAGCTAAAATGCGTGTAAATAACCGAGTTAGATACGTGGAAGTAATGTCGTTGCAAACTTAATTTATTTAAAACAGTACACATATGCCAATTTCCGATTTGTTTGTTTCAGATAAGTAGCTTTTCTCCTCTTCTCGGAATTTTAGCTTTTATGTGTGTGTGTGTGTGTGTTGTCGAGAATGTGTTGACATACAATGTTATGTGTGTTGTTGTCGAGGGTGTGTTGACATACAATGTTGTGTGTGTTGTTGTCGAGGGTGTGTTGACATACAATGTTGTGTTGTGTTGTTGTCGAGGGTGTGTTGACATACAATGTTGTGTTGTGTTATTGTCGAAGTTGTGTTCACATACATTGTTGTGTGTTGTTGTCGAGGTTGTGTTGACATACAATGTTGTGTGTGTTGTTGTCGAGGGTGTGTTGACATACAATGTTATGTGTGTTGTTGTGTGTGTGTTATTGTCGAGGGTGTGTTGACATACAATGTTGTGTGTGTTATTGTCGAAGTTGTGTTCACATACATTGTTGTGTGTGTTGTCATACAATGTTCCGCTACTGTTGATTACCCTAATTGCTGAAATCATTTGTTTTAATCTCTTTTTTTATGAAAGTGAAAGGTCTGACATCGAAATAGAGAAAACCCTAAGAATTTCATCTGTTTAAATGCGCTAATGTGTTTTGTGCTATAATTCCTCAAATTGGTCGCCAAACAGTTGTTTGAAATGCACAGTAAATGGAAACTACATTTCATAGTTTAAAAACATACAACTTTTCTTGCGACATTTTAAAATTTGTTCGTTATTCAAAACAATTATTCCTTTATATTATCTTTATATATAAAGTACATATTATAATGCTACAGTTTTGAATAGAAGTTCACATATTTTTGGATATTTCATAACCCTAAAATTTTCGAATTAGTACTGGGGAGTTGTTAGCCAGTGGATTCCAGCTTTGTCTGGTTTCGCAAGGCCTACATGCGTGCTGTTTCATACACTTATTTCATAACAACCAGCATAAAGATCAAGCAGAGTAAGTTTAGCTGGAATTCCATCACACACAAACACACCAGCCAGTCTTCTTCTAGGCTGCAATATTTTTTAAAGCCGCTTGTTAAATAAAAAATAAAAGTCAGGTGATTGTTTTTAGCAACTGCTTAGTGCTGTCAGAAATAGAGTCTAATAAACGTTATTAGTTTGATAAGGAAACCGTCAGCTTTTTAAAGTAATGTTTGGGTAACTCAAGGTTATTAATCGTTCTAAGCTTTCAGTGCTAAATATTACTAAAAAGTGTTATGCATACTCACTGAATAATTTAAACTGGCTCTTTTTATTACTTACGAAACACTTTATTAAAATAAAGGTAACAGATAGAATGATATTTATATGATATCAAGATCAAAATCCTTATTTTTATATGAACAATTTTTATGCTTCGCCTAAGTGTAAATTTATTATTTTTTAGAATCAAAACAATAAATCTATAAAATACGTTATCTCGTTTCTAAGTTATGTCTCAAAATAATTTATTTCGCATTTTAAATAATACTCCGATAAAGGACATTGATAAAAATGCTTCGTTTCTAAAATAGTGAAACTCAATCCTCGGAGCTTAATTTTCTCGTTACTGTGTACATTTATTGAACATTACTTGATATGCACAACGAAGGTTACAATACTGTGTGATAATAAGTGACGCATAAAAAAACAGTTAAAAGACAGCATAGAGTTAAAACGTGGTCAAAAAAAAATCTGCACAAGTTAAAATGTGTAGAAAAGATAACTTTGGTTTTAATCTAATTTTACATTTCATATATATTACAAATTCTACCTTTATTCCACCTATGTAGTTCCTTTCTTTCCGACAGATGGCACGCACAACCTAAATATCTAACTTTTAGCAGATTCCTCATTGCAGATATGCATTAAAAGTAAATGACTGTATTCAAATTCGATGACGAGGAATCCACTTTAAGATTAATAATACTTGGAGACGGCTTGAATGGGTAATGAAGAAAAACTTTAATACAAGTTTAACATGACAGCAAATATACAACGTTTTTCTTTATTACCCATTCAAGCCGTCTCCAAGCATTATGTTACTCACATAGATTTGAAAGATATGTAGTTAGTTAGTCGAGAGAAAAAAATATTTCTGGAAATATCGTGTTTAATGTAAACAAGAGTTTTTCTTTCAATTTTCGTTTGTAGGTTTAAAAAAAATGTATTCTTCTTGGATACAATTAGGTCGTCAAGAAATTAATGTCGCTTTTTTTTACATGGTAAAACCCAAACAACTTATATATCAAAACAAAACATTTATTAAATGAAATAGTCTCCATTCTTATCGATGATACTTTCCATCTTATAATCAGGTTGTTAATGCCCTGATTAAAGAAATCACTTGGCTTTGAAGCAAAAAACATTTCGATCTCCTCTTTAACACCTTCCACATTTGCATACGTTTTCCTATTAAGATGGTATTGCAGCGAACAAAAAAGATGGTAATCTGATGGTGTCACATCTGGAGGATATGGTGGGTGGGGGAGAACTTCCCAACCCAACTCCATAATTTTGTGTTTCATCAAACGTGCCACATGTGGACGTGGTTTGTCATGGAGGAGAAGAACACCTTTCCGATTGACGAGTGAAGGGTGTTTCTGATGAAGAGTTTGATTTAAACCTTCCAGTTGCTGACTA